ACATACAAAGCTGGATATAATGTACTTGAAATAAATACCAGCTATACAGTCATAGCAATTGCAATGGATATGTATCACAACAAAGAATATATTTTTGCAACATTGTCCAATGGTATTAAAGTACGATGTGGACTTAGTTTAGAAACAAAGATCGTTGCATGGCTGGAAGAATATCCCGATGGCCAAGTTCCGTATATGAATTTCACCACATTGCAATGCAGAACTGTTCGCGGGTTCAAGGATATTTATGTACGTTAAGAATGCTAATAGATAGTTTTTAAAAATTACAATGGGCTTACTTTGTACGCTTATATGATGGAATCTCTACTCCTGCAAAAATTTCACGTCGCTTATTAGTCGGCTCTTCCCGTTGTTTATCCTCGACATCCATAGTAGTCATCTCCAAGAACTGCTCTTGTAACTTTGTTATATCTCGTGCATTATGCAACATCTCATCCACTGGAATATAATCCAAGATTTGTTCCATTGCACCATTGGCATATGGAAAGTCGAAGCCATCTCTAATCCAGGCACTATGAATGGGTTCCAGATTTAACTGCAGTAGTGCCACCATCTTCTTGATGTTCATAAGTAAGAGACACAATCGCAATTGCAAATTATATGTTTCTATCTTGGTTACCAACACTGGTTTCCTATTGTTGTGCTTCTCAAAGGTTGCTCCAAGATCTCCAAATTCGGCTTCTATCTGAGAGCGGAAACTGCCGAAAATCTTATTGTAGTTAGTTTCATCTTGTGCAAGATCTTTCCCACGGCTTTTGCGAATTGGATAACAAAAGTTTTTCTTGCTCATGCTTGTTTCTTCTACTATTTTCTTAATGTATTGTGTGTACCCTCCATCCAATGCAATACAATCTAGCTCGTGGATGTGCTTATGTATCTTCATACCAACCAACATAGTACCATCGTTGTTATCCTTGCAAGGTAGCGATTTAGAGACTAGTATTGCCATGCCATTGCAATCGACACACACTTGCGTTCTTACACCAGATTTCTTCAGCTTGTAAGAGTACATATCTGAGCTAGACTTTTCTTCACATGAAAGACGTGTATCATGACCATCCAAATGCAATGTTACATGTGGGAATAGTGGTGGATTCCTGAGTTTAGCAGAAATCAAGCGTATAGGAAATGTGGAGAACATATTCGCAAGTGCATGGTTAATATGCTTCGAATGCACATTATAGTTAGTCTTGTAGAACTCTGTATGAATGGAGTGGAAACTACTTTTTGGTATGTGGGTTGACATTCCATCCATTGCCAAGCCTGCAACTAAGTGGTACAATATCAACAATCCTTTGTCGACTTCTCTGTATGGACCTGGATACTGCTTGAGAGACCAAATAACTACAAGAAAGTAGAATACAGGAATTGCACCTAATCTTCTTATAAGTAAGTCTTTAACAGTTTTCATGTGTGCTACTAGCTTCAACGCAGTCCTATGATTATTGGATGGTTCTTGCGTAGGCCATTCTGCATCCAAAAAAGTCCATTCATCCTCTAACAACCGTTGAAATAGGCGCTTTAAGTTTGCCATGACTGTAATTACAACCTGGTAAACTATTAGCAAAAATTCCTTTATATAACACACTTTTGGATTTTTTAAAACTATTAACGATAAACACGATAGGGGAGCAAGCCCCTCAACCAGATGTTAAAGTACTTCATCATGGCGGTTTTGCGACCACTTTTTTGTAACCACCAATTTTCTCCCAACCACCAAAGTATACAAACGATATTTTATAGACATTTCCTAAGTCTACATAACTTTTATTTATACAACTTCTTTTTTCTGTCTTGTTATCACACAAAATGCGATAGAAATGTCACAATGTTCATACCCATTTGCATCACGAAATATGTGATACGTTTTAAGAAACGTCTATTTTAAACGACATAATTACTCTGTTAACAACACATTTTCTCTACCTTATTATCACACAAAATGCGATAGAAACGCCACGATGTTCATACCCATTTGCATCACGAAATATGGGATACGTTTTAAGAAACGTCTATTTTAAACGACATAATTATTCTGTTAACAACTTCTTTTTTCTGTCTTGTTATCACACAAAATGCGATAGAAATGTTACAATGTTCATACCCATTTGCATCACGAAATATGTGATGTGTTTTAAGAAACGTCCATTTTTAACGACATAATTGCTCTTTAAACAACACATTTTCTCTACCTTATTATCATACAAAATGCGATAGAAATGTTACAATGTTCATACCCATTTGCATCACGAAATATGTGATGTGTTTTAAGAAACGTCTATTTTTAACGATATAATTACTCTATTAACAACACATTTTTTCTATCTTGTTATCACACAAAATGCAATAGAAACGTTGTAATATAATAGCCATTTGCATTATAAAATATGTGATGTGTTTTAAGAACGTCTATTTTAAACGATATAATTGTTATATCTACAACTACCCACAATACATGGTCTAATTGCGATATCTCTGTTTTTACCATTGTCGTAATTACCTACAATCTGTATAACAATAAATGCTATAACAATTGTAAGTTAACCAAAGTGTAATAATATTAAACGTCGTGCAAATCGTGGGCTTACCTAAAGTATGTCAACATTAAACATTGTAATACTTACGAGTTTATCAAGAATGTATTAAAATTAAACATCACAATAATCACGAGGTAATCCAAAATGCGTTCATATCAAATATCATAACTGTGGTAATAACTACAGTTTGTCAGCTGTCGAATCGAATGCCGAATGTCAAATGTCGAATGTCGAATATTGTTGAGAAAGTGTAGCAATAACGCCATTAAAAACGTATCAGCTACCCTTTCTTTCCAACAACCAATGTTTGTTAAAGCCACTATGCTACTTTTTTAAAAAATGGGATCCAACTTTTTTTTAAAACTACCACTACATCATCACCAGTATCACGAGTGCTATATTGGATATACACATAGGATATATCATGAAAAGGAGATATTAGTAACCATCGCTAATTATATAAACACGAAAACAAATGCTCTACTAGGAGGCCATCCATGTTCGGCTCCACCAACCATAGACTACAGTATAAAAATATCTGTCAACACCTATTAAAACAGTGTGTTCCTTGAGAGTACAACAAATCTCATCAGCTTTTTCCTTCCACCAGTCTCCATTTTCTACATTCACCACCACTACTTTGTAACATCATCTACTTTAGCTGAGAAAGCCTTGGACATGATCATCTCATATTGGATCCTAGATATTACAGATAGTAATTTCCTTTCCAATATGAGATGATCATGTCCAAGGCTTTCTCAGCTAAAGTAGATGATGTTACAAAGTAGTGGTGGTGAATGTAGAAAATGGAGACTGGTGGAAGGAAAAAGCTGATGAGATTTGTTGTACTCTCAAGGAACACACTGTTTTAATAGGTGTTGACAGATATTTTTATACTGTAGTCTATGGTTGGTGGAGCCGAACATGGATGGCCTCCATAGATAAAGACGAAATTAAATGGACAACATGTTCGTTTGACAAGAAGCATGAATATGCAACCAACTACCTTTTCGACGGATGTCATCTGCTCAAGAGGTACGAAGAGGACATTATTGTTGGACTGCTGTATAAGATACCTGCAAACGGTGACAGTAACTATAGTCGAGACAAATTTACCAACAACAAACAAAAGCAGAAGTTAATTGCCATGGGGTTCACGATCGAGGAATTGCCTAAATTGTACTCTCCAGATGTAAAGTTTTGGTAGTTGTTGAGACAGATGAAGAGTAGATATTTTAAAAACTATCCAATTGTCAACAGTTGGCATTTGTGGTTGTATATATAGCATGAACTTTTTAAAAATGTAACATGTCTTCAACACTTCCACCTAGGAGGCCTTTCAAGTCCAAATTATCATATGGTGTTTGTTACATCTCTGCAGATCTTGACGATATCCACCGCGTCCATTAGAGGAGAGTGTATGTATGATATCAACCATTTAAAACAACCACTGTAACATTCCTTGCGCGATTATCCTACTAAACACAACTACATTCTCCAAACAACAAAGTCTTCTTATTTTTCGCTCACCAATATCTTGAATGTGTTCATCTACTATTAAACTGTAACCCTCACTGCAAGATTCGACAGAGTAGTTCTTGTATGTGATCATCTAAAGCACTTGTATTCTCAACTGTATCTTTGTCGTGAAATACAGGGGAGAGATTACATTTTAAAAATTCTTGTGCTGTCTATTGCTATTTTATTCTGTGTTCTGTTGCCCACTATGAAGAGATATGCCAGTTATGGAAGTCAACACTCCGTTCCTTGGACTTTGGATATTTTTTATATGCCTTTTTATATCCTCTGCACATGAAGGGGCCGCCTAGAGGACTTCAAGTTCAGTCTGCGGCCGTTTTACAACTTCCCAGAACAATTGGTCTTTGTGGACGAGACAAGCAAGGATGGAAGAGACGCTGTTCGGAGGTATGCCTGGGCGCCTATCGGGACTCCAGCAATTGTCTCGCTTCCGTTCTCACGGGGCAAGCCTGTGTCTGCTCTGGCTGCTTTCAATTACCATGGATTTTTTGCATGGTCGTTCACCCCAGACACTTTTACTCGACAAACATTCCACGACGCATTTGTTGGATCCATTCTCCCCCATCTCAATTGTTACCCAATGCCCAACTCGATTGTTATCATTGATAATGCCCGTATTCACATGTACAAACAATTTCAAGACGCTATTGAGCGTCGCGGTGCTTTGCTTTTCTTTTTACCCCCTTATTCTCCTCACCTCAACCCCATCGAGACGGGTTTCTCCTTGGTCAAAAAATATATTCAAAAAGAAGGTTACCTTGCTTTTCACCATCTCCCCGAGCCAGTTCTGGACTTGGCATTCCGTCAGTGCGCAAGCAAAGAGGATTTGGCCATCCATTTATTTTCGCATAGCGGATATGAACGCCATACGTTGGCATTCAAGTGATAATAAAAGTGTATATACTAGTCGTCGTCTTCGTGGTCAACATCTCTCATATCAAACTCTGGATTGGCAATATCGCCAGTGTCGAAGTTGACGATCCCGCTTAAATCGATGTTAGGTATACCAAGTGCTTGTCGTAACTGCGACTTTTTAAAGCTAATTTTGCAGTCAAGAAGGAAGGAGTCGTTTTGTCGTTCCTTGTTCTGTGCTGCACTGCGTTGGTGGAAGGCTTCTGCTTCGTTATCCAGATGTTGAAATTGGCGAAATGTCGCTGTCTGAGGCAATTGTAGATCAGCAGCTGTTGTCGGCTGAACCCTCTTGGCCAGATGCCTTGCCAAATGCGACGTTGTCATCTGGCCCAGTGGAGGAATAACTCCTTGATCGATCGCACTCCCAATAAGCCGTTCGGCTTCGAGAATTCCGCGTTTGGACGACCTTCTGATCTGATCTTGCCTTCCAGTAGCGGCGGCTTGAGTTTGAGCCTGGTCAGTCGTAAGATAGGCGAAGACATCGACAGTTACTTGATCGGGGTCATTCAATCGCCTAGCTTCAGTCGTCCATGCACGCTTGAGTTTGTTCTCGCAGTCCTCTGGATCCAACCTCAAGAAGTACTGCTGGGGGGTGTTGTGTGTTGGTTTAACATACAGCGTCTCATTCGATGGCCACTTGAAGCCTTTCAATGCTGGCAGAGTCGTTCGGCGTCGAACCTTGGCGAGTAAGGATCCCAGATCGTCTTCATCCCATTGAAAACTCCAAACAACAGGAACAGGCCAGCTCTTGCGGACTCGGCAATGAGTGAAGGGTACACCATGACGAAGGTTGATTCGCAGAGATATAAAATCTGAGACCTCTATATTGTGGCGACCAGGAGTGGCGAGACGAGGAGGAGGGTTGGGAGAGGGAGAAAGAGAATGGAAAGTGGGAGAAGAAGAATGGGGAGGAGAATAAGAAGAGGGAGGAAAGGGTGGTGAAGGAGTGGGCTCTAAAGACACAGATGACTCGGCTGTTTGGCGGACCGAATGTGCTTTGGAGCTTCCAGCAATCGTAGCTGTGGAGGGTGCGGCCAAGACTGACGGGTTCCCCTTACGATGCCGGATCAGTGGTTCGCTTTCTGTTGACGACGAACGAGCGCGACGTTTGTGAGAACGGTCATAAGAAAGAGAGACTAAGGGTGTGTTGGGGTCCGCACTCTGGCGGGTAAGGATACGTTTCTTTGAAGGATTTGTTTCTTGGACATGGTGGTAAGGTGGAAGAACGATGCCTTTTTTTTTTGCGAGAGCAATGAAAATGAAAAATTTTCTTGATGGTGTCAGATTAGCATCCGAAACAGTTCGAATAAGAATTCTCCGATTAGAGACTATTCTCCCATTAGACAGAAAAAACCTACATCATTTTATTTGAAACGCGCAATAGTACATGTTTTTTTAAAATGTAATCTCTCCCCTGTATTTCACGACAAAATACAGCTGAGGGTACAGGTGCTTTAGATGATCACATACAAGAAGTACTACCCTTAATCTTGCAGTGAGGGTTACAGTTTAATAGTAGACGGACACATTCAAGAGATTAGTGTGCGAAAAATAAGAGGACTTTGTTGTTTGGAGAATAGGTTGGTGTTTAGCAGGATAGTTATGCAAGGAATGTTACAGTGGTTGTTTTACATGGTGGATATTATATATACACTCTCCTCTAATGGTCGCTGTAGATATTGTCAAGGTCTGCAGAGATGTAACATATACTATATTACAATTTGGACTTGAAAGGCCTCCTTGAAAGGCCTCCTTGGAGTATTCCAAGAATGTACTTGTAAATGGAAAGCACATTCTCAAGATCCACAAGCAAAACATTGTAGTTGGCTTGGTGACTGATGACCACATTGGTGCAGAGAATGCAGACTATGATAATCTTAACCAAAAGGAAAAAGAAAAGATCTTTGCCATGGGCTTTAAGCTACAAATGTTTGAGGATAGGTTGACAGAGAAAGATAAACCGGTAGAAAAAATAGATGATGAGGTGCAAGAGTCGAATGTTAAGGAAACTTTAGATGAACTTGTAGAAAAAGTAGATGATGAGGTGCAAGAGTCGGATGTTAAGAAAACTCTAGAAGATGGTGGACCTATGGAAAGCGAAAATGTAAATGCCTCAAGTGTTTACACTACAAAAGACCATCATGATTTTCTAAAGGCAATGGGAGAAGTATGTAGCAAAATAACAGCTATCGAAGAAGAACTCCGCGAGGAATACGTTTCGGCAGATGGTAATGCAGAAGAAAAAGAACTAATTTCTCACCTAGATTTGTTGGAGAAAGATTATTCCAACTACGAAACATGGCACATGGATAAGTTTGGTTCCCGCGAACCACATACCGATATATTATATAAGTTCGCAAAAGAAGGATCTAACAACAGAAAAACCATAGTGCAAAGTGTATTAGATAGTATTCAAGCCAAAGAGAAAAATACAATGGAAGAAAAGAAGCCTCTTGAAGTAACATTTGAGACCACAGAAGAGTAGATCAAGAATTTTAAAAACTGTAGATATACTACTTGCACAAATAAAGCTTTTATATATGGAATACACATGTAGTAATATCCTCGTCCCTTCCAATGAGATTCACCAGATATATCACCCATCTTTTTAAAAACTTCCACCATCCTTTGCACAATTTACAATATTTCTTTCTTGACCACAGTGGTGTTTATCCGCAATCTGCTTATATTTAACATCACGAAAATTGCAATAACTATATCTAAGATGTTCTACAATGCATGCACTCTTTATGACATTTATTTTTTCACCATTGGCATGTTTACCAACGATCTGTATATCAACAAATATCATAACAATCGTAACTTCCAACAAAGTATGTTATATCAAACATTATGAAAACCACGATGACTTCATCTGAGAAGTTCCACAATGCATGCACCCTCACCACTATTGCATTATCCATATTTTTTTAAAACATTCACCTAGGAGGCCTTTCAGGTCCAAGTTATCATATGGTGTTTGTTACATCTCTGTAGATCTCGACAATATCCATAGCGACTATGGGATGAGAATGTATATATGATACCAAGCATATAAGACAACCATTGTAACATTTTTTGTTTAACTATCCTACTAAACACCAACCTATTCTCCAAACAATAAAGTCTTCTTATTTTTCGCACACCAAACTCTTAAATATGTCCATCTACTACTAACCTGTAACCCTCACTGCAAGATTCGCCAGAGTAGTTCTTGTATGTGATCACCTAAAGCGCTTGTACTCTCAACTGTATCTTTGGGGCGAAATACAGTGGAGAGATTACATTTTAAAAATTCTTGTGCTGTCTATTGCTATTTTATTCCGTGTTCTGTTGCCCACTATAAAGAGATATGTCAGCTATGAAAGTCAACACTCCGTTCCTTGGGCTTTGGATATTTTTTATATGCCTTTTTATATCCTCTGCACATGAAGGGGCCGCATAGATAAGAAACTTCATAAGCGCTTAAGAAAGGCTAAGATGCATGGATTAACTCGTCTTGAGCTGACTTTCTATGGATCACAGTTGCATGATTATTCCTACTATGTGAAATGTTTGGATCAAGTTAAGGAACAGATCCAAGATTGTACAACTTACAAAGTGCCATTTAAGAACTATTGGGAGTATATGACATCTAAAATTTCATCCATGATTGGAGTATTTGTTAAGAATGTTACCAATGGGAAATGTCTTGGGTCGAAATAGTTAAATATGTTATGGAGTACCAATGGAAGTTGCAAGAATTTGTACAGACGATTATGGAAGAAGTTTTTAAAAAGACAACAGATATATCTATAAAGAATACATATACAAAAGCAAAAGAATCCAAATGGACATAGTTATCTAGCAGTATTACAAGAGCAAAACGTAAGGAAAGAGTATCAACATATAAAAATGGTTCAAAAATACAAGACACAGTAGGCCCATGCAAAATTGAACAGACACAAATGTGGGGTGTATTTGTAGAACATACAAAATGAACAAGGCCATAAGGAGACGCCGGCCCTGCATTCTCGTACTGGGACCCTGAAGATTATATCGCATAATAATGTGGATGCGCGGCAGCGCGGTTCTAAAAACAAGCCTGGGGCGTCTTTTAATAAATGTTTGGTGCTGTGCATTACACGGCGTAGATCCAATTTCTAAGACATAATATACTCGAGTTATATCGGGTCTGGAATTGAACTGTTTTTTTTGACCGCAGGCAGTGTGCACAAACGACATGTAATGTGTGGCATTGGTTCAATTCTCACCCCCTTTTTTTTTTTTTTGCCCTTATGCAGTCTTCTGTTTTTCTTTTTCTTTTCCATGAATACACAAACAAACACTCATGTCCATGCTCTCTTCTCTTATCCATCTCCTCCCTTCGTATGCCGCCAGACGGCTCCAACCCCCTCAACAACGCGGCTGCCACCTCGTCTTCCGCATTAATGGCCAAGGACAGGATTACTACTGGCAGGAACACTACTACCACCCCTGTCTCCCCCGCCGTCCCTGCCTCCCCTTCCCCTCCAACTGTCGACACTGAAGTCAAAGGCAAAGGCAAGGAACCCAAAGTCCTCGTCTCCAACGCCAAAGAAGCCCTAACAGGAGCAGCACAAACCACCGAAGATCATCTGTACTCCAAGAAGACCAAGACCAACTACAAGGGCCAAGTTACGCGAGCGTTGGCGTATGCTGCAGCACAAACCGAGCCTGGATGGAGAAATGCATTCACCAAGATCTCTAGTCTTATGCCCACTGTCTTGATGGCCTACGTTGCGTCCAAGTGCCAGGGCCAGGAAGGAGACGGACTGTCGTACAAGACCGCCGAGGGCATCAAAAGCGGGTTAAAGCACTATTTCAAGACCGAGCTAGGATGCCTAACGGATTCATGGTCCTGTGACAGTGACGGCAACTGCACCGGAAACCCTGTTCATGAGGTGGCCTTCGATCGATACCTTCAGTCTCTCAAGAATCGTGACGGGCGAGCCGGTACTAGCCGGCAGAGTTTGGCTATGTTCTACAGTGACATTGTAACACTCATGGAGCACCTTCAGAACCCAGCGACTATCGCGGAGAGAACCGAGGGTCTTTGTTTGTTGTTCCAGGCCTTCGCAGCCACTGGGTTCGCCTTATGGACCAGGTAATCCGTAATCATAACTCTACTCTATGTTTTCGTTCGTTCTAGTTTGTGATTTTACTGTAACTAACAGTCAACTGCTTGTCACTAGGGCTTCTATTCGAATCCATTCGAACTCGCCTTGGTTTAAGTAGATATAGTGCCTTCAACTCGATTTAAACGCATTGCAATAGTGCGCCTATTTGAACAAAAATTTCGAATCAGATTCGAATTCGAATGCGCACAAACCGAATGCAAACCATAGTGGATTCGAATGGATTCGAATAGAAGCCCTACTTGTCACGCTTCTAGAAACGAGGAGCTCACTCGTTTACAAATGAAGGACATTGAGCTGGATCTATCCACAGGTACTGGTTCACCCTTCTTCACCATCACGCTGACGTTCCGCAAAACAAACCAAGCAGATGCCTCGAAGGGTAAGAAGCTTTTTTTTATTATCTTTCTTGCCGTATGCCGCCGAACAAAGATCACGAACTGACAATGCACACACCATTACCACCTTCACCTTACCTTCTCTTCTATTAGCCAATGTTTACCAAATACACCCACAGCCAGACTACAAGGCTGTTTGCTGTTACACCAAACTGAAGGCCTGGCTGCAGTGGATGGAAAGGAGTGGACGAAAGCTTCGTTCCGAGGACTACGTGTTTCCGGCATTGGATGCACAAGGGCGCATCAAGTTTCAAGAAGCCCTGTCGCAGACTCGCGTGCAAGGTTGGTTGGACCAGCTCACCAACCAGACAGGTCTTCTTGCAAAACGCAACGGTCGATTCACCACGTATTGTTTTCGTCGAGGCGGCGCTCAGTTCCGGTTTATGTTTGCCAAGGAGAAGTGGTCTCTCAAGGCGGTGAAATGGTGGGGAGGATGGTCTGAAGGCGAGGGGACAGGTACCATCATGCGGTACTTGTTGGAGGAGTTCACTTGTTACGAGTATGGCTTTAGCGACATGCTGTCACCGTCTCGGCAGAACAGCCGGCACGCCGTTTTCATGGGCGAGACGGACACACCCGGCGCTGCTCCCATCACGCAATACAGTCTGGATGTCTCGCTTCAGTCTCTAAAGGAAGCAATCAGCGTCGAGATGAACCATCGGTCTTCAATCCAGGAGCAAGAGCTCAATCACAAACAGGAGGTGGCGAACAAGGCACTTATAGACTCAGTTATGGAATTGAACAAGGCCCTCCAGGAGTCGTTCCTTGCTGCGATTCGAGGGTTGGGGGTAGCTCAGTGACAGCACCAAGGCTTACTAGAACAGCAAGCGCATCAGCAGCATGAACCCGCTCCAGCTCTAGCTACAATCCCTGTTCTTCCTATTCTTCCTATTCTCCCTGTTCCCGCTATCCTCCCAGTCTCCGTCCCTGCCCCTGCTCCTACTCCAGCAAGAAAGCAACCACAGCAGGGGGATGTTGAGCCGCCGCCTGCCCCTTGCATTCCTACCATCAAACTATGGAAAGAGGCTGTCAAGCAGTGGGAAGTTGGAGACCATGCGAAGGGATTAACGATTCCTCTCAGAGACTGGACAGGATCTATGCGAAAGACAGACCCTACCAAGTATTCGCAGAGGAAGCTGATCGCAAAGGAGTTAGACCGTGTTGGAAGGAACGAGGGCAACATGAACGACATCCATGGTGAGCATACGAAGAGTGTCAGGTATCTGATTTAGTCTATCCGCTGGGGTAATTTGAGAAGAAAAGCTGAGGTGGCGAATAAGAGAGTGAAGGCCACGGGTGTTGCCCTGGATGAGAGCGAGGATGTTAACGAGGTTGAGGTGGTTGAGGAAGACGATTCAGAGGAGATGGAAGAGGAGGAGTCAGAGGAGTCAGAGGAGGAGTGCTTGATCCGACGCAAAACTTGTTACACCTGTGACCCTTAGTGCCAATCAAGCGGCTCCCAAGCCCTTCAAGGTTGCGGTCCCTCGTGTTACCAGAAGCCAAAGCATCACCCCAGCATTAGTCCAAACAGCTTCTGACCGCTTCACTCCATCCAAGCAACGACTGAGGAGCATGAGCGTTTGCCATACTAGAGAAAAGCGGCGTTGATAGACATAAACATAAACAAAGATATAGACAAATGCATGCACAACCCCTCCCCAACTCCCAAAATTAAGTGACTGCGAAGTCAGTTTTTGAACCAAATTGTTCACAAGATGTGAACAATCAGAGTTATGGCCCACATACTTAGAGGACGTTTTGTTCTAAAATACATATTTTTTTAAAACCAATAGTAAGCGACCTTTTATGTTATTTATTACTGGTTTCCTCATATGTATTGGTAATGTCAACCATTTGGTACTTGAAGAGGTCGCAATTCCCTCCTGTGATGGAGAAGAGGAGGAGGAGGAAAAGGAGGAGGAGAACGGCGATGAATTTCGGGATGTAGCGGAGGAGACCACCAATAAGTCCGACAAGATTGTCTTCGAGGCCGGTCACATCAAGACCTGGTGGGACGAGATGCTCCGACTCCCATACGACCAGAGACCGCGCTTCTGTATTAGTACGCAGTTGGGTGACTCGTTTCTGGACATCAGCAAGGAAGCTCTTCTGGCGATTTTCTGGGGAGAGTCATCGGGAGGCCTTTCACGTCCAAGTTATCATATGGTGTTTGTTACATCTCTGTAGATCTCGACAATATCCATAGCGACTATGGGATGAGAATGTATATATGATACCAAGCATATAAGACAACCATTGTAACATTTTTTGTTTAACTATCCTACTAAACACCAACCTATTCTCCAAACAATAAAGTCTTCTTATTTTTCGCACACCACACTCTTGAATGTGTCCATCTACTATTAACCTGTAACCCTCACTGCAAGATTCGCCAGAGTAGTTCTTGTATGTGATCATCTAAAGCACTTGTACTCTCAACTGTATCTTTGGGGCGAAATACAGGGGAGAGATAACATTTTAAAAATTCTTGTGCTGTCTACTGCTATTTTATTCTGTGTTCTGTTGCCCACTATGAAGAGATATGCCAGTTATGGAAGTCAACACTCCGTTCCTTGGGCTTTGGATATTTTTTATATGCCTTTTTATATCCTCTGCACATGAAGGGGCCGCTTGGCAAACAGGAGTATCAACTTGGCGTTGTTATTTACCATGGACAGTTTCATTTTTGCTCGGTGGTGATGGTGGAAGGGAGACGACTTTTGTACGATGGAGCGATGAAGAGGAAGTGTCAGTTTATTTCCGAGAACGATATAACAAGACTGCTGGCAAACAGGAATTTCTACGCAGCCGAGGCTTGGTACTTGAAGTATCCAGTAACGTCGCATGTGGGCCAGGAGTTGGAGGATCAGGCACTGTCTGCCGACAAGGAGTTCGATGAACTATCCGATGACGAGCAGGTGAGGTCATGGTCCCCACCTCCGCTTGCACCCAATACGCCTGCACCACCCAAGATCACAAACATGCCTATGCCCAAGGACACGAACACGCCTGCACCCGTAACGTTGTTGGACGATGAAGATCTACCAGACGTGCATGAGTTGTTGCATAAACGTCGCCTCTCAGACGATTCGACAGGTTCTTCGCCTATGGGTCCGACCGAGCAATCCTCGCCCTTACAGCCACCAGCCACTCCCCCACGAAAGAAGCCTCATTATGAGATAGGATTCTCCAAGTGTCTTGTTGCAACAAAGGGTCCGTTACCACAGTGTGCAGGGTGCCATACCCCGATTTTGCGAACTCTTCACAGAACAAGAATGGTTCACAAGTATATTATCAGGCAGTCTTGGATGGCAGGCGGGATGCGTAGCAATGTACGGTCGTACCATTATCAACGCTCTTGTATCAACAAGGGTTACTGACGGTAGAGGATCTGGAAGATGCGAGGTCTGTCTTCGCCGAAGACGCAGAGGTGACAGATAATTCGATTTAGTAGAGTTGGAGTTGGAAGGAACTACGAGTCGCGGTGGATTGGGAAAAATAAAAAATGACAAAAGTGACCTTTTCGTTTCAGGCACATCGGAGTTGAAGAAGAGGATCACGTGCACTTTCTCAAAAGCGACCTTTTCAAATAGGTCACTTTCCCCTGGGTCGCTTATTTCTTATTCACCCCGAAAAAGGGCAGCTTCGAATTCACTTTTGGGCGACATAGTTGAGAGAAAGTGGAGAGCTTTTTTTTTTTTTTTTTTCAAAAGTGACCTAATGACTATTTTTGTTTATTTTTTGGTCGAGTTGACATTCTTAAGGGTCACGTGCAGTTGCCCAAAAGTGGAGAACCCTTATTTCATGGACACAGGCCATCTCCTTCTCTTTTAAAAAATAGCCAAAAAAGTTAAATCACGTGAGGGCGGAGCCCGAACTAAAAAAAAGTATCTTGCGCGTAGCGCCAGCGCGAAGCGCCAGTATTTTGTGAGCGAAGCGAGCGATGGTCACGGGCAAGGCCATCAAGAGTATCTTGCGCGAAGCGCGCCAGTATCCTGTGAGCGCAGCGAGCGTACGGGCACGGGCTAAGAGGATATGAGGGCGTAGCCCGAATCAAGGGGCTTTGAAGAGGATGTGAGCGCAGCGAGCAATGGTCACGGGCGCGCGCCCTGGCGCGACAATCGAAAGTATCTTGCGCGAAGCGCCAGTATGTTGTGAGCGCACGGGTACGAAAGGGAGAAGATCATGTGAGGGCGTAGCCCGAACCAGAGGACCTTTTTTGCGCCAAGCGCCCGTACTCTGTGAGCGAAGCGAGCAATGGTCACGGGCAAGGCCATCAAGAGTATCTTGCGCAAAGCGCGCCAGTATCCTGTGAGCGCAGCGAGCGTACAGGCACGGGCTAAGAGGATATGAGGATATGAGGGCGTAGCCCAAATCAAGGGGCTTTGAAGAGGATGTGAGGGCGTAGCCCGAACCAGAGAAACTTTCTTGCGCAAAGCCCCAATATTTAGTAAGGGCAAAGCTGTAGCTGTCAGATACCTGTTGCCGCCTGCGGCAAAAGGAAGCGACCGCTGGAGCGTGGCCGTCTGGGCCATCTAGCGCGAAGCACCAGTGTGCTGTGAACGAGCCTTTTTGCAAGCCTACTAAAAAGCAAGAAATCCTCTGGCGTGATGTAGAGCAAAGGGTAGTCAAGGATATCTTGAATATACTGCGAGTGAGGGTGATCCGAGAGAATAATGAATACAAACAAGGCCAGGGGGATGGCTCCCCAGCTACTAAGATGGCTATCTAATAAGGGAGGTCAGCTGGGCCCAGCTGGGACCAGGGATATTATTCTTTATGGCTCAACAGGAAACTCGACAGGTAAGAGCTCTACATTCCCCAAGCGTGCCATTGGCCACAGGTAGTTGTGAAAAATTTACAGTCACACTACACTTGAAAAAGGAAAAAGGTAATAGGCAAGTGGCACCCGTATCTTTAAACGAGTCTTCTTCAAAGACCCTTCAAACACCCTTCAAAGACCCACACCTCTCACCCCAGATCCCCTTACAGCAACTTCCGGCACCCGTGGCATCGCCCACGGGCAACCTTTCTAGTGCGATTACACTTAATCATTTATACAGTCACTTAATGTCACATGATTATGAGCATACAAACAACCAACGACGCGTTATTCCTCCTTTCCGCCCTTCCTCTCACTCATCCTTCCACCATGAAGCCGATTCCCTCTATTACTACCCAACTCATCGCCTCAGGAGTTTGCGCAGATGATCCTATTTTAAACGACAAGCTTGCTCGCGGTCAAATAGAGCAAATGGTGGTTAATGTCCTGAATGAACTTGTAAGTGATGTTGAACAGTTGCATCTCTTGCAATTGTGGTCTATTTGTGTATACTAACCAGGTTAGCCTTTTGGTTTGTAGGGCCAGTTGCAACATATTAGGTTTATCATTGCTCTCTAGTTAGTCATTCCTTGTCACTCTCTATCATCTCTGACTCACTATGACACTACACCTAGAAACCTAGTTGGCGACTTTGTATATATATTTAGTTGTACCATAGTAATAACATCAATCATCACTGCTTCAACTCTCGTCCCCGTTCTATACTTCTCTGTCCCAGTCTTCGCCTGTTGCATGGTAGCAAAGGTTCCCTCGTTCCACCGATCTCTTGATTTTTCCCTCCTCGTTTTCACTGCCCGCGTTTTACTTTAATTTTCCCTCGTCCCAGCTCTCTCTGCACACCAGCCCTGAATTTCATTCCCTGCCCCTATTTTCCTTCGTACCCTCTTACACTCTGGACATTTTTGACCTCTCCGCACTTCTATCTGCACTACCAGTCATGGTTACCCCTGCCCGCCTTAACCCCCCTCCTGTCTTTACAGGCGCCCGCGACGGTTTCTCTGCCTTGGCCTGGCTCGTTGCGGTTAACCGCTACTTCAACCTTGCTAAGATAAGTGAGACTGAACGAACACCCCACGCTCTCTCGTACTTGGGCACGCCTGGCCCTGCCCGATGGTTTGATGGATGTGGGCTCCCTGATACTTGCAACTTCGAGACCGAGTTTACTCCTGCTTTTAAGCTAGAGTACATTCCCAACAACTTTGCGGGCTCCTGTCGACGACACCTCACCAATCTTCGCATGACCAACAACTTTTCGACCTACTTATCTACATTCAAGGAACTTTTGGGCGCCCTCCTTGGTTATGCCTCCACCGACGCTGCCAAGACCACGGTCAACGAGTTTGCCCAAACATCCTTTATCGACAACTGCCCCTTGGTTCTTCAACAGATGATCGAAGGACACATTATTCAAAACCCCAATATCACCCTCATTCAGATCTTTCAATACGCCCAAGAGATGGACCGCATTTACTCCTTCAAACCCGACACCGGCCCCAAGACCAACTCGCTCGCCATCGCCTCCGCCCCCATTATTTCTTCCTTCACCTCTTCCTCCGCTCTCTCTCAAGCCACCCCCATGGAAATCGATAACATCCAGATCGCCCTCAACAATATCACCCAACGATTTAATCGCCTAGAGAGAAACATGGGTCATAACAATAACTACAACCGCAACAACAATAACAACAACGGCCCCCGAAACAACAACAACAACGGTAATCCCCCTTCCCTGACCCCTCAGGAACGCGAATGGTGTAAAAACAACAATGCTTGCCGTCGCTGTCGCCAACCTGGACATTATGCAAAGGAGTGCCCCATCTACGGCGACAACAACAACACCAACCGTGGCAACAACAACAACCGCCAAGGACGATGGGTTTATCAAGTAGCCGTGGGTGATTCCCCCGAGTCGGGAAAAGCCTCCGACGATCAGGCTTAGTCCAGGACTTGATCGTCGACGTTCCCTCCCTTTCTCCTCTGGACAAAGGGAGTGTTTCCTTAGCGGCCCCTTCATGTGCAGAGGATATAAAAAGGCATATAAAAAATATCCAAAGCCCAAGGAACGGAGTGTTTACTTCCATAACTGACATATCTCTTCATAGTGGGCAACAGAACACAGAATAAAATAGCAATAGACAGCACATGTTTTTTTAAAATGTAATCTCTCCCCTGTATTTCGCCCCAAAGATACAGTTGAGAGTACAAGTGCTTTAGATGATGACATACAAGAACTACTCTGGCGAATCTTGCAGTGAGGGTTACAGGTTAATAGTAGATGGACATATTCAAGAGTGTGGTGTGCGAAAAATAAGAAGACTTTATTGTTTGGAGAATAGGTTGGTGT